AATATCAAAAAAAAATAGATAGCCAAAAATTCAATTAATTAAAATAATTTAAAAAATAAATTTTTGTTGTTGTTTCACTTCTGTTCGAAAACCTCTTTATGTAAATATAACAAGTTTCTATTAAAAATATAATAGTCACTTCCGTCTGAAAAATTTGACGTTAAATTACAACTTATTCAAAAAAAAATAGATGAATTAAAAATAAGCAAACAAGTAAAATTAAAGCAAGTCCAAAGGGCTGGACATACTCAGAGAATGCACGTAAATGACCCGATAAAAAAAAATATTCCAACCTGCATTAGAAGGAAGAAGAAAAAGAGGTTGATCAAGTTTACGCTGATAAGATTACATTAAACAAACGGCGGAGCTGCTTGGATACATGGTGCCAATTACAAACGGAAGCCAAGATTCTATTAGGATCATTGAGCCATTAATGATTTTCAGTATCCCGATTTTCACGTCCAAATGACTATAATTTTTATTAATTATTTTTTGTTAGTTAAACTGAGTAAAGATCCCATGCAGCCGCTTCTGATTATTTCCATATTTATTTAATTGGAACTTGCTTAATTGTAAAGTACTCGTCTACAGGCACTCTCAACTTGATCTCTACACCTGTGATACAGATTTTTCTCCGATTGCCACTTGAAATTGAATTTTTTCGTTGGATCGTTATCATTCATTCTCACAGTATGAATAAATCAATGAATCTGCTATATGGTTTTTTACTAAAGAATGTGAATTGCTCAATAAACTTCATACAGGTCGTAGTTTATGCAGATGCGAAAGTCGTCGATTGTAAAGGATCAACTTTTTCTTTGAATACTTTTAGTGCTACTATATTATTCTGTGGTAGCATCATTGCTTCTCAGTCACAGATTTTGTCAGTCTACAATCCAATTATTTATTAAGTATAAATAATTGGCAATTGTTGAACCCATTAACAATTGTAATTATTTGTCCGAACTCTAAGCTGACTACGTTGTTCCTGGTTACGGCGGTGTCAAGATAGATGAAATTCTTGACAGCTTTGAAAGTATGATCAGTACAGTAATAGTCGATCATACTTTTTTATTTGTTGGTTTTCAATTTAAGGACATATTTAACTTAACGTACGAAAGTTTGGATTATTTGAATCAAAATATTGTGTTGAGTCAAATTAATTTTTTTTGATTTATAGAAAACGTTCTGCAACTATACGATAATAAAAAGCCCGCAGTGGTGACATAATCAATTTCGGATATAAAAAAAGAGAAGCGCACATAATTCGGTTAATAGAATAACTAGCGGATAGTAGGTAAACCTGGATGTTCAGCATTGAGGCCAGAATATAATAAGAGCTAATGCATGACTTTGAAAATCTAAGAACATATTTATTGTAAATTGAATTTAAAAACTGCTCGAATTTAATAAATAATTGTTTTTAAATTTTGGTAAGCAAAACCAATATTGAATACATTTTTTAAATATATAAAAACTGAATAAATGTATGTAAACTTTCTGATAAATTTCTTTAATATAGAAACAAATTACCACTTTCTGTTTTCATACTTAAAATAAGTAATAAATATATATATGTTCTTTTATGATATTATTAAAGAAATTTATACCAATATCGCGCACCTTAATCTTTGCAGAATATAATATATTATCTTGGTTGCTATCAACGCTTTTGAGAAGAACCTAGGGTAGAAGAAGGATATTTTCAAAAACATATTTCTTCCTGCAAAATGCACCAAAATATACTTTTTTTCCTTCCGTACTTAATAAGCGCACCAGGTAATGTACATACATGAATTGAACTGCTATAAATAATAAAACACATTTCTTAATTATTCCAATCCAATCTTTAAATTTTAATTAAAGAATATTCTTTAGGCTTCAATATTTAAGTTTCATCCAATTTTAGTGCGCAGTATTTATACGCATTTCAAGATACAATTTTCTTGAGAAGATTTCAAAAGGTAATTTTATTTGAAGCACTTACTTTGATTACAATTTTGCAATTAAACCGAAATACCTCATAATAAAAGAATAGATTTAACTTCATTCTAATAACACTTAAATTTATTTATTTAACTTTTATGATTGATTCAGTTGTTTTTGATACGTTTGCGACACTTAAAGATTTGTTTACGTTTTTCGAATCCCTTAATTACGTGAACTGTTTGTATATTTAATAACAAAAGTACTGCCTTAACAACTCCTTCTAGAAATAACTCACACCCACTAACAATTCAAGTCGAAAGAACGCAATATTGTTCTTAGAGTAAAACTTATAAACAAACTGTGGAGCACAGCAGAAAGTGGCTTTCATGTACGTATTCACTTAATTGACTTTCATTATTTATTTTACTCCTTTGCAGCCGGAAGCAGTAGGAGCAGCAGTTACAAGAGCGGTAGCATCTGGAAAGACAAAACGCATGGTTGTTATTCTTGGAGCTCTGGAATTCTCATTAGAATTTCCGCACGTTTTGATTGAAGTGGAAGAAAAATTCCTCTTACTTTGGCATGGAGTAATTGCGCATCGTTTGCTTTACTGTCCTTTTTAATATTTTTTATTTCTTTTTTAATTTATTAGATCTACTCTACTTTAAGTTACCATACTTTCCACTCAATTCAATTGCTGTCAATTATTCATTTAGCGTTTGAATGATTTTGCATTTATTAGGCATCTCTGCGCTCAAGGATTAGCTCCAGTCACGTTAAAAGTATTAAAAGTGCATTCAGTTAATTGGTTGCAAATTGTTCGCTACTTGAAAGTATTTATAGAATTCTAAAAATAGTATTTCTACAATAATATCATTCAAATAGATGATTATCAGGACACAGTTTTGTTTGCTACACTTGAGAACACATTGTTCAATTTTTCAAAGCTAAATATATATTGTAAAAAAAAAATATATGAGAATAATATAAAAAGTTCATTTGTCTTTTAAATTGTTTCATATTTTTATTCTTTTAAATCGAGTCTCTTTTAAATATTTTTTGTCTTAAAACGTGACAATTCCAAACCCAATTTAAATTTTTTATTTTCGAACGACCTTTTTTACTCTTATATTATATATAAAAACAAGTAATATAATAGCTAACATATTAAAAGGATTAAAAACGAAAAGTATACCGTAAATGTCAGAATATACTCGCTTACATTTTCAAGCAATTAAAAATGTGGGAATCTTCTCCCATGCGAGAAGAGATATCTTCTCTATAGGAAAGGATTTGTGTCCAAAGCCAGAATATAGTCGATTACAGATGCAAGCCAACATAGATATGAGACTCCTCTCTAATGGGGAATTATTCCGCTTAAGTCGGAATATAGTAAAACAAAGATTCAAACACATATAAACGTAATAATTTTTTCTTATGCGTAAAGTCCAACGCTTCTATAGATTTTCAATGTCACATAAGAAAAGAGTTCAACATCCCTGTTTGCTTGAATTTGGCTATACAGTAATCCCTCCTATAACGCGTTAGATTGGTTCAGCGGAAAACGCCTTATATGGCTATTCCTATACTCGAAGCTAATTATGAACTCTACAGATCCCCACGTTATATGGGGGAATGCTCGTATTATACGAAGGATTGAAATCGCGTATTATGAAAACGCGTTATAAGGATACCGTGTTATAGGGAGGATTATTGTATTTACTATATTTCGATTTTCACTGAAACTATTCTTTGCTAGTTCGAAACAACGAAAAATAAAGCTGGAAAATGTGATAGCGTAGTTCAAAACAGCATATATATGATCATCTTATTCACATACTAATGCTACATCACGAAAGAACTACTTTAAAGATTTTTAACAGAGTAAATGTACTTTTTATTTTGCAAATGTTTTGAGTTATTCAAAATGGACAATGAAACCATGTGATTTCCTAATCAAAAGATTGTGTTTAGTTAGGCTATTGCGCATTTGGTGAATTTGATCACGTTCTAAGCACTCTTATTGATGAAGAAATTGCTGCTCGGATATACACGATATTAAACTTTAAATACGAACGGAAGCTACTCTAGTTTTAACTCAATAACGACATCTGAGAATCGAAGAACGAAAAAGGATTCAAGTCTACTTCGGCTAATCGTCCACTTCAGTGGGACCTCTTGTTAAACGGTGTGTAGTCCCACCGTTCCACAATTCAAACTTTAAATTAATTCTGAATATAACTATATCATTCCCAAGAATAATGTAAAAATTTGTAACTTCGATTTCCGATATTTGGAAAATCGTGTTATATTATATTTTATTAAATTCTTCAGACAAGTGGGGGTTATAAAAATGTGTAAGTGCATATATTAAAGAAACCTTAAATAAAGCACTTAGGAGTATCACGGAGTACCATGGAGTTTTTTTTTGCATTTTTCTAAAACTGCGTCAATTGAGGATCAAAATCTTAATCCTTATATTGATATTTAAAACTTATTAATGCGTTGAAGTGATATTAATATTTATGCTAATATGATATTTCTTGTTTCTGTGATCTGTTATATATTGAAGAACTGTATGTTTTTCTAGTCATCACAGAATATTTCACTTATATATTTAATGATAATTTCTGCAAGAATTTTTTACTCACATACACCTATATACACATGGATGACATCTATACAGGACAACACACATACAAATAGATTTGGAAAAATTTGTGTTTCAAACAAAGCAAACATAAACTTATAGAACAGAAAATAAATATTAATAATAAAATAATATATAAAAAAATTATTAAAAAAATTGAAAGAGGGAAAAATGCATTTTACTTTTACATTGAACACATAAATGCAATTTAAAATGAAACAAAAGAAAAACATATATAAAATATATATATAAAAAATTATATTACACAAACGTTAAAAACAAATTTACAACAAACAAACAAACAGCAAAGGAAACATAAATATTTTTATTTTTTATGAAATGAAATATGAATTTCATTATTTTCAATATTTTTCTTTTTTGTTTTACTTAAAATTTTGTTATTTTTTATAATTTTGCTTACCCTGGGCACAGTAATATTAATCAGCCCCCAACAGATTTTTTTCAGGCCCCATGGTATCTATGGTATGTGTATTGAATTGGCAGTGATGATGAAGTAACACAAGTGAGTTTAATTTTTGTGATATTGTGATTAAAATCATTTGTGAAGCACAATAATTTTGAAAAATTATATTTGAAGAAGTATTTTTTTTATTTATTTAAAGTGTTGTGGTGATGTTTCAGATATTTTTAAGTGAGATCGTAGTAGTAATTTTGATTGGTTTAAAGAAGTTAAAAAATAAATAAAATTAGAATTCAATATAATTGTATTTTTTTTTAAATATGGTTTATAAAACATAATTAATAAAAAAAATTGTTTGCAATTTATTGAAATTAAGGTAAAATTATTATTACACAAGGAAAATATATTAATAAAAATTTAGAAAAATAAGAACACAATTAAAGTGTAAGAATAAACAGACAGAGAGGGAGAGGCAGAGAGAGAGAGAGAGAGAGAGAGAAGAATAAATAGAGTATTTAAATTAAGTTAAAGAAATAAGAAGAAAAGAGAGCATTTAAAATTAGTTTTATTTTTAATAAAATTGTAATTAATTTAATAAAATATATTTAATGATTTTATATATTTATATATATTGAAAAAAAAAATATTTAAGAAAACTTTAAGGGTATTGAACAAAAGGAACCTTTCATCAATTGGTGACTGACTACCATACCACTTTTATTCGTACAAATTGCAGTTTATAATTCATTAATATTATACTACTTTTTAAATAAAAATAAATAAATTATTATTTACTAAATGAAAGCTAATATTAAAATACAAGTGAAACATACAATTTAATATTAATTACATTATATATATATATTTTTAATTATTTGAATTTAATAAAGAGTTTCCTGGAAACGAAATTTTTTTTTAAATGGTTGACACGTGATTTAAATAATAATTAAATTTAAATACTAATTTAAATTTTAGTGAATATAGTAATACAGTGTATGAAATTGTTTTGGAAGCAGCAAATTTATGTTTTTGTTTCTAAGATGTTCACAAATTATAATTTAATACATTTAAGACTTAGAACATTTTTATTATTGTAATAACCAAAACTTAATTTGTACACTTTTTGGAATTTTACTTTATATAAAACATAACATTTACTTAAAATATAGGTAAATAACATAATATGTATATATTATGTATAAGATATTTATTCATACGCATAATTAATTCTTAATTCTTAAAGTAAATTGAAACACATATAAATTTTAACTCTAATAATTTTGTATGTATATTTGTGTTGTATTAATAATCAATAAATATACCAGAATTTTAAAGTTATATACTATAATTTTATATATATTATATAAATATATATTATATATATTCATAAAATATTCACCCAATAAGCAAAATTTTCTTTATAAAAACGAGCACCGTGAGAAGAGTATGTTAAATAAAACAATACTTGAGAAGTTTCCATATATGTGTAAAAAAATGTATGTCCCATTCTAGATTCCATATAAATCAATATGAGCTATATGACTCATATTAAATTGGCTTCAACACTAGATTGAATGATTAAATTGAATAGTCAACTAATTGTTTGCTAGATGTGTTCCAGACAATAGTAAGTAGTAAATAGCCTCGTAGTGAGAATATCTACTAGTAAAGCGAAAATGTAAGATTCTAATAGAGTACCTAACGGTAGAATAAGCAATAAAAGACTATTCGATTTATTATTCATTGATTTAAAAAATTTAAGAATAAATGATTGCAGAAGACTGTAGTGTTAATTAGACACTCATTATACAGTGCACATTTGAATTATGACGCATGAAGATTTCCAATAAGTTTGAATGTAGTGGAGAAAGTGCTTTTAAAGCAACACAGAGTTATCAATTTTTAATGGTTTTGTTTTCTGGTAGCGTTAGGGAAGAGAGGGGAAACTAACAACTAATTTAATTGCAACTATTATTCGACCTCTAGCAGATCGTTTTAAACAAATGATTTTGTAAGTACTTGAAACATCGAACTAATTAATACTGAGCGTTACAGTCCTGAACTGATATACTTCTTGTTGATTTTTCACATCAAAGACATAATGCGTGAACGCCGATTTTAATTGGTACCACTAGCCTTTGGAGCTTATATATTCAGGATATCTCTAACGGATTAAGAAAACTGTATGAAAAACTGTTAGAATTATTTATAAAGGTGAATATTTAAAACAGTAATAATATAATTTTTAATAATATATAACAGATAGAAATTCCAGTTTAAAAGCCTTCTACAAGATACTGGATAAATATGGCTTGAATAATAAAATGATTCTTAAGCAATTTAAGAATATAAAATCATTTGCAATGATATAATTATTATTTATTATTTTGTACCTCTAAATGAACTAAATTTAGTTTAAATTAAAATTAATTAAATTTAAATTAATTGAATTTATTAGTTTTCTCTTTATAACTATTATTTTACCACTTGTTCGTGCATTTCGTTAAAAATACAATGAACCTTCTTTTAAATCTTGGTTGTTTGTGAACTGGTAATGCATTTCCCTTCGATCTAATTACAAAGTCTTAGTGCGGAAACAAACATACAATAAATTACATTTTAAAATTGCAAATATCAATATATCTTCTGCACAAAGCTCAGTTCAGAAGGAATACATGCTGAATCGCCTTGCTGAATCGAATGTGAAATTCTCATATTCATTCAAAGCAAGTACGAAAATAAAATAAAGTTTAAAATTTAGTCTATGCCACGCAACAATTGCTTCGAAAAGGAAAAATCCACTTAAGTGCACTTCAACTGAAGTGAGTGTAAACGTACGTAAAAATGAAACGCACCCACACACTTGCAGCAACAGTTGCAGATTGACTCAAACCGAAAGTGGCTCTTACACACGTACACACACACACAGCAACTTAAAGTATTTGGTACTCATAGCTTAACACAAAAAGGATTTTTAAAATGGTGTTAAATACTTTTCAGTGCGCTACATACAGTTAGTCAATATTTTTAGTTAATGAGACAGATATTAATATATTATATTAATTGAGTTTTTTTTTCACATTCCTTAAAATTGAAAGGGTTCAAAATTTATTGATTAAAATATAGTGTGTAAAAACATATATATATCCAGGCTTGGGGTGACCACATTTCTTGGGCAAATATTAATTATCTTATCAAATTAGGAATGTTTTAACTCCTGGCAAAAAATATTTATCTAAGAGACCACTACAACAATAGTGGAATATTAAACATAAAGTATATTGTACACCTGCATTATTTGAGCTAGATCTGATTAATCTGCCTATAAAAATTCTTAGCGCAGCAACATCAGTGAATGAAACAAGGTAAAAAATGATAAACACTGTCAATAATTGAGCGATTTTCCTTAAAGTTACAACTAAATTAGACATATTTAACGTTATGTTATAAATTGGGTAATATGTCTTCTAACTATTCGCTAATTGAGGACAAAAAGAAAACTATCTTCTTTGTGAAACGGGTTTTGACTGATCTATACGCACTAAAGCAAATCGGGCTTATGAGTGTAAAAAATGTATCGATAAGTTAGTTCAACCTATCCAATACTGTAGTGTATTGGAATCAGACAATTTTTAATAAACAATAAAAAAATCAAAAATAAACACTTTGAAATTTTTATATTTTGTTCTTGAGATTTGAGAAATCGGATCTGTGTAGATAAGTATATAAATTTATTTTAACTAAACGTTAGACATGATACTTATGTTAAGAAATGATAAACAAATTAAACCTGTTTTTTTGCAATAGGAGACAAAGATGTAGCATATTTTTTTGGAAACATATTACATTTATATATCTCTAAATATTCTAAATAGAAAATTGTACCGATTAATTTAAGTTTATATAAATGACGATTTACAGATTTACAGTGTAATGTGGCACCATCTGCACACATCAATGTTGCCTAGATCCGAAAATTTAACTCTTATAACATTTTTGTTTATGTATTCATTATTTGGATTTATTTAAAGCATTTCTCTCCAGTAGTTTTAATGTAGACAAATATTTTTGTAACAAATTTAGAATATCTCATTTAAGTGATTTCATATGATTCAAATCTTTTGAACGTTTTGAAAAGGATTCAGTTTAGTGCTGCTGAAGCACTTCTGCGTGTTTACACAAATTGAATACAAATTTTAACATAATTGATTATGGCCAATGGGAAAAATTTGCTGACAAGGAGTAAAACGAGAAAATATTTATTTCTACAGTGTAAGGATTAGGAAAAATATTTTAAGATTTAATCAAAGTGGTCGAAAAATATACTCATCTTTTGAGATTCTAATAAAAATAAGAATGCTTATTATATATATATATATTATATAAATAAATTCCTTTAAAAATTTCCACACGAACCGTTGTTTACTTTAGCGTAAAATTTAATTAAGCGCCTAAGTGAAGACAAGTTAATTATTCCGTTTTCATGCTTTCTAAGTAAATGGTAAGGACACACGTAGAAGGATCTATTAAGCTCTACAAGGAGCTTAAGGAAATATTGTCGCTAATATAGCATGAACTAAATTACATATTTAAATAAATTTGTTAACCTCAATTTCATATTTTTGTTACTAAGTTAATTTGAATACGTAAATTATGTGTCAAATAAACCATAAAAGCTTTGCTGTATACTCCATAAATAGAATTTGCATCTTGTTAATATGCAAGTTTAAAGTATAATAAGGTTTTGTGAAGGAAGTAAATAGAACACTAAAATAACTAAAGAAAAATAACGAAGTCAGCTAAACAATTAATGCACTTATAAATTACTTTAGGAGCCCCCTATCTTGAGGACTTGGACCAGTTACAGGATCTGACTTTAAATAGCATTTTATGCTTTGCAAAAGGTTCTAAGTGGTTTTAAACCCTTAGGTTTTTCATTATTTATATACGGCATCACAATGGGCCAATAAGCCTAAGTGGATCCACTGGGGATCACCGGTATAACCTAACCTAACCTATAAATTATTAATTATTGGTTTCATATTTCAAAAATAATT